TCAAACTCCTCTTGGTTAAAGAGTTTCATATAATTACGAAGGGATCCTCTGAGTTTTTGCTTAATAGCAATGAGGGCTATCACGGTCTTTTTGACACCGTCGACTGTTAATAAAGTGTGCTAGGAAGAGCTCTATAAATTGGTCCCTAGAACTAATGGACCGTGGGGTGAGAATTGAAAACCACCTACGGGAAACACCCTTAAACATGGCCTGGAATGCCTTACACATTAGGTTATCAGAGTATCCATGGAGGATCATGATATCTCAAAAACTTTCCAAATGGTCCTTTGGATCTGTCGTGTCATCATAAGTTTCCGAGGTTGGTGCCTTGAAGTTCTATGGAAGTGGCTCCAAGGTGATTGATCTCAGCCTGGATGGCACCAATCTGTGCCTGGAGATCCATGAGACGAGGATCGACGTGAGGTAGTGGGACCTCAGCTTGACTAGGTGCCTCCCTTACCCGAGAGAGATCTTGATGGCTTCGAGAGTGTTTTGAATTAGTTGGGTCTTGAGCTCTACACACGCAGTGATCGTTCAGATGATCACGAAGCTCAGAAACTTAAGGGGGAGAGGCACGACATCGGCCAACACCAAGTTGTTGAGGACTATTGTGGCTTGCACACTCACCGTTGTCCTTATTGCGGTTGGAGGTGGCTCGATTTGCAAGGCACTCTTGGTGGTCATCTGGGACACCACGACGATGGGAGGTCGGGCAGTCAATGCCTCGACTTTGGGGGCGCTAGGAGGAGTTGGAGCAATGCCAACTTGCTCGACGACTGCTACATTCTGACTCTGAGGGCTCATCTCTAACATGTCCTCCTAACTACTGGCTGATGGAATGGTGGGAAGATCTCCCATCGTGGTGATCCTGTGTGTCAGTGGGTCAGCCGCTCTGTGGAAGACCTCCTATTGAGGGTTGCAAGTTGTCAAGCTGATTAGCCAAATAGTCTAATCGTTGAATTGCTCAAGGGTGACCAAGTTCTGAGACATTTTCCAAATGATCAACCATTGTTGGAAGTATGGAAAGTAAAGTATTAAAGGGAAGACTTGTTTAGTAAATCATTCCCACAAATAGCGCTACTTGTCGCTACCAAATTTGGAGCCAAGGGCAGCTTGGTAACTTTCGAGGTCAAGTGATTGAGGGTCCCACCTGCAAGGAGTTAAAAGATGTCAGAGGCCCTGGGAATGTTCCCAGGGGCAAGGACTTCAACAATCAAGTTAGCCGAGATCACAACAAGAGAGCAAAGAGAGAACTTAAGTGTGCATAAGAGAGTGTACTTTTGGCTATGGTGAGCTTTTATAGCCCGAGTTGCCCAAGAGTCCAATAATGGACGAAGATCAATGTTTTCAACCTGCCATTTACCTGACCAGTCAAACCATTTGAGCTATCACCCGACCAAGATTCTGGGTCCGGTTCAGTCAAGACCTGCCAAATGGTCAAAAACCATTGACTTGGTCAAAAACCGTTTGACCTAACTGGTTTGACCATTGATCCATTCAACCTAGTGACTAAGTCGCGGGTTGCACACTCAATTAATGCAAACTTTCAGAAGTCTTAACTTTTCACTTCAGTGTCCGATTAGGGTGATTTTCTTTTTTTGATTTTGGGTAACTTTTCGAGATCTATGCATCCCAAGGTGACGTAGGTGCCTTGCCCTGTTACTTTCGTGAAAAACCCCTTTTTTGGCCTTAAATTACAATTTTTATATTTTTATAAATAAAAGATTAAAACTGAATTAAGAAACATTTATAATACATATAACATATCTAAAATATATTTATACATTATTTATTGCTAAAGGATATATATATAAATAATACATAGTTGCGCTAATGTGGCATGGTCTGAACCATTCAACTTGGCCGGTCGAACCAGTAACATGCGACTTGGAGGCATAAATGGTTCAGGCTTCGTATTGATTTTTAAAACATTGACAAAGTAATGGTCCCAAAGATTAAAGTCATGAATGTGGCTATTACAAGGATGAGACCTCGTCATCCGAGCGTTAAATTGCGAGGTGAGAGCCGAACTAAGATCATAATGTAGTCTGGTGCAGCCTAAAAATTTATAGTTTAAGCCTAAGTTTTATGCTCAAATAAAACATGAAGTTGAGTCTTGCAGCTCTAACATGGCATGAACCCAGCCTATCAGTGATACAGTTCCATGCCTTATCAGAAGTTGGGTCTTGTAGGGGTGTTCACATTAAATGTCAAACCGACTAAACCGATAAAACCGGCCCAATCCAACCCGAGTTGGTCGATTTTTCAAAATCATTGGTCGGTTTCGATTTGTATGAAAAAATAAACTAACAACTCAGTTCAGTTTTGGTTTTCATGTATGAAAACCGAAGGCAAATCAAACCGAACTGATCCTATATTTTTAAGTAATTATTAATTAGTCCCTACCCTATATGTTAAATGTTGATATATTTTATTTGTGTTTTGTTTGAACTTTAAAAAAATTGGTTATTTATGATAAAAACTAAAAACGTAAAACCAATACAAATATAATTTAATGGTACAATATCTAATTCAGTTTTGTATAAATTTAAATATATTGACAAAAAAATTAGTTTTGCACAAAAAAACTAATCGATTTAAATATATATTTTGATTTTTCATAAAAACTAAAAAGAAATAAACTTAAATATAAATAGATATTTTAGTTTAAAATATATATATATAAACTGACTAAACCAATAAACCGACCCTTCATGTTTGGGTCGGTTTTGCTTCAGGGTCAGTTGGATTCGATTTAGTCAATGAGTAAACCGACTAGGTCAGATCGGTTGAAAAAAAAAACTCAAACCGACCAAACCCGACCCGTGAACACCCCAACGGTCTTGTGGGGGAAGAGATAATGAGTGGACTTGTGTTGAAATGATAAACATGGTGTGTGCATGTAGATCTCACATGTGCAATTGGAATCTTTTACAAGGTGATATCGTTCGGGACCAAAAAGGGTTCCAGTGTTCTTATCACCATTTATTGGGAAAGAAAATTTTAGCTAAAACTCTTGCCGCATGGCAGCAATAATTTTCTTTGAGGATTTTTTCAGTTTAATTTCTTTTTGAGAAAAAGATTTTTTTCAAATTAAAATATTTAAACTTCTCATATAAGTTGCAATGTAATTTTTATACATGTTCATTCCACTATTATAAATCATAGGAATGGCAACAGGGTGGGGTCGGGTCGGGTTTTGCATTCCCCATTCCTAACCCCAAACTCAAAAGCCTAATTTTAACAAATCCTCGATCTATTTCTCTAACAATATTCATAAGAGATTCAAAGAGTGATATCAAATACCCTTAAAATTCCAATTCAAGAAGGTAGAGGATAGAATTAACTAAGGGCTCTTATCATCATGGGTAGATCAAATAGAGAAACATTTCAAGAAGGTAGAGGATAGAATTGAATGAAAATTGAAAAAAAAAATGTTGTCATTAGCTAGTAGTGTTACACTTCTCAACTCAACCATTGGCATGGTACTCCAATCTTTGATGAGATCCTTTGACTTTCCAAAGGAAACTCTAAACACCATTGATGCAGCGCGATCCGGACACTCCTAGCTGGCGGAAACCTTCCTGGTTCCTAGCTAGTGATGGATGGTACCTGAGACGAAGAGGAAAGTGAAGAATTCCTGGGGAGCTTGCCCGACGGGAACACTCCGATGCCTAAATTAGATCTCTGAGAGAACTGTTGATAATGCAAAGAGAGAGCTAAGAGTGCAGAATGCGCAAGTTCAGTATCTTTGCTCCTTGGGGACCGGGGTCCTTTTATATCAGAGATCTGTCAAATCAGGCGTAACCGCCTCTGCTACAGCCGTTACTGCCAGAGCCGAGGTGGCGGATGCAGGTAGCCGTTGTAGGGTACGGACCTGTCAAACGTGCACCATCAGGCAGAAATGGCAGGCACGACGCCACTTGACGAGAGACGTAGGCGCAGCCTCTAGATTCGGCAGGTACTATTATTAGGCAGATCTTTCTTGCAGGTTGCCGAGCTACTTTGCACCGAGCTACCTTGGGCCGAGCTGCCTTACGCCGAGGTGCTTATGCTTGAGGCGAGGCTTAGCCAAATATGGGCAAGAGTGCTAATGGGGCTGACCCAAAAAGTTTCCACTTCGGGATACTTATCCGTAGATCGGGGTGTTCCCTTCTCAGGAAGGAAGAGTTTGGGGCTCACTGGGAGGAGCTCGGGACTCCTCGCTTGGAGGGAGCTCGGAGCACTCCTCCCTTAGGGAGAATTCAGAGTAAGCTGGATATTATTTCTCGGCGAGTTGCCACGTCCGCCGAGTTGTCTGGCCGGGCTCCAGTCCGTTACGCCGAGTTATGGCCAGGCTGTCATGCTGAGTTGTCACTTATGCTAGGTTGTGTCCACGTGTCCCCGTGCTACGAGGTCGGGCCAAATCACCCTCTACCAACCATAGATAAAAGAAAAAACAAAGAAAATTTCTATGGAAAAAATGAAAAAATAAATCCATCAACCTAACCAAATGGAACAACATATTGTCTTAAAGTACCCACAAATTTTATGACAATTGACATCATCAGTAAACACTAACAGTAAAATGAAATGTTGAATTTTCTCTCCACTATTCCTCAAATTTTTAAAATAAAACTCATCTAATGAAAATTTTCAAGTTTAGGTGCAAGTGCAACAATGGCTTTTCAGGCACTAAACCCCAACTGGTGAAAATTTTTAGTCATCATTATGCACTATAATACTTTTAACTTATTGCATTTTAGCTTGTTGATGAAGCTTGACATTTTTCAATCGGTTTCTCTATGGAGCTTGCATTTTGATAAATAGATATAGCCATTGGTTCAGGCACTTACTACAAGAATCCAACAACTAATAACACCTCTATCTTACCCTCGACCCTGGGTTAATAAATGGTCTCATTTATTAACCTTCCGTGCAAAGAACCAGTCAACTAGGTTTCCCAAATCGTTACTTCTCAAGGGTCAAGACCCTGAACTGAAGCCATTCCACTGAAGAAAATGACGTTTCACAAAGGTGATGCGGTTGAGATTTGCAGCATAGAAGAGGGTTTTCTAGGTTCCCACTACGTTGCAACCGTCATTTCGCTAGTGGGGAAGTCTCGAGTCTTGGTGCTAGGGCTGTAAGTCGGGTCAGGTTAGGTCGGGTTGAGGCCAACCCTAGTCCAATCCTAAGTTCTAAACCCCCAACCCTTAACCGAACCCAATCCTACCTTCAACCAGAACTATCCAACCCTAACCCTAACCCTAACTAAATTCCTTCAACCCTAACCCAACACAATCCAAAGTCAACTTCGGGTTGGGCCCAACCCAACCTTCTTCCCATCCCTTAAAATCTTGTATAACTTCTTAATCTTAGATCTTAACTCAACTTTCATTACATATATTAATCCTATATTTTATTAGTATTTGTTTGTTGATATTTTTATTGGTTCTTTAGGCTAAATTTGGAAGGAGTACAAATACAAATATGTAGAGGACAAGACCTTGTATTTCGTATTATTTTATATATATTTTTACTGCACATATTTTCATTTGTACTCTTTCCAAACTGAGCCTTAGGCTTAGTTAGGCTCAGTTTGGAAGGAGTGCAAATGCAAATATGTAGAGTGCAAAACCTTATATTTTGTATTATTTTGTATGTATTTGTATTGTACATATTTGCGTTTGTACTCTTTCCAAATTGAGCCTTAAGTACAAAATTCAAAAAAAAAAAAGTATTTGAAATGACTATAGTTTATTATGATGACTTATAATAGATCTTTTATGGGAAGCAAGCTATGGGTGGCAAACAACAGAGACGAGATAAAGAATAAAATATTCAGAAAATATAAAATATGTTATGAAGGTTTTAGTATTTCCAATTAGGATTAAGTGAAGTGATTATCTTAAATGAAATAAATGATAGTATGTCGTAGTGGCTATACAACTATCATGCATCTAAACAAATCAATGTATGATCATATATATAACATATATTTATATATGATATGTACTATAGAGTCGGGTTCGGGTTGTGTCGGGTTGCCCAAGGGGTCAACCCTAATCCAACCCAAAGTAAAATTGGGTTCATAAATTTCAACTCTAACCCTAACCCAAGCATCAACCTGACCTAACCCAACCCGGTTTTTTGGGTTGGGTTCGAGCTAACCCGGCCCAAGTTGCAACCTTACTTGGTGTAGTATCAAACTCTACTAAAAGCGGTGAATCGATGTTGTTAAGGCTCCGTTTGGTTTGTGGGATGGGGATGGGAAAAAGGGAATATTCTGAAAATATTTCCTTTTCTCTCATTTGTTTTGAGGGAAAGAGAGGGATGGGATGAGAAAAGTGTGGGACTTTAGATTCCGAAAATCATGGATTTGGGGTCGCACCAAAACTGTGAGATCCCGGTAGAAAATTTTGGTAAAACACTGTAACAACTGAAAGAAGTCAAAGAACCACCGTCTTTCTCTTCTCTCTTCTCTCTCACCTTCTTCCCGTCTTCACCAGATCTACGGTGAACCAGACATTTCCACTTGCTAAATTGTTATCCCGCCAAAAACAATTCTCGTAGATTATTATTTCATTCTCCCACCTAAACATCTTCCTCGCTTGTTTTGACTGGTAGATTTTAGCCTTCCGTCTTTCTTTCAGTTTACATAGATGAAAACGTATGAAGCTTTCTTCTTAAATGGATTATCTTCTATACCATGGAAAATGATCCTAATGATTGAAAAGAGGAAATTTGCTCGAATGACGATGAACAAGATCTTCGTGACCAGCTTCGAGAATCGCATATCCGAAATGATGCTCTTCTCAATGAATTGGAAGCTCTTCGGATTTCATATCATGATCTTCAATCAAGATCCATGGTTATGGAGGATAACTTGATCCTCCTTCAGCAGCAGAAAGAGGAAGCTCTAAAACACAACTTCGATCTCGTTAATTCTCTCGAGCAAACCTTAAGCGAAAAAGGCACTCTCCAGAGCAAACTTCGTTTATTAGAGGTCTCTATGAGAGAACATCAAGATGAATTGATGTGAAAACAGGACAAGGAATTGAAGGGGAATTTGGATCTTTGGAACGAAGTTGAAGTTTGTCAAGAGAAGATTTCTGTATTGCTAGAGGAAAGGCTAAAATCTACCAATCAAAACAAGCGACGAAGATGTTCAAATCCGTCGCTTCTCTTCCTAGTCACTGCTCTGTTCGGTTGAGAGGAGGACGTGATAACTCTACATTTTGATGCCTTAAGGGCATCATTTCATGGGTATTTTCAGCCTTAGAATAGTCAAAGTGTGCCATTTTTCCAGTTAAATTCAATGTTGTGACCTCTGAGGTCTCTATGCAAATTCTGTGGAAAACTAGGGAAGTTACATGGCTAAAATGCAGTTTTTGGGAAGCTGGTGTGAAGTCCAGTTGAGAGAGGGGGTGTTTCTGTGAAAAACTAAGAACAAGAGGGCACCTCCTATCTGCTAAACCCAGTTTGGCGCTCCCCTACTGTATTAGCATGCTCCCCTCTCCTTAGCAAACCCTAGGGCACCTTTTAACTTATTCTTTTCGTCAGCAAACCCTAGCCGCCCCCAACTGTTTAATGTTCCTGATGATTGAAAAGAGGAAATTTGCTCGAATGATGATGAACAGGATCTTTGTGACCAGCTTCGAGAATCGTAGATCCGAAATGATGCTCTTCTCAATGAATTGGAAGCTCTTTAGATTTCATATCGTGATCTTCAATCAAGATCCGTGGTTATGGAGGATAACTTGATCCTCCTTCAGCAATAGAAAGAGGAAGCTCTAAAACACAACTTCGATCTCGTTAGTTCTCTCGAGCAAACCTCGAGCGAAAAAGACACTCTCTAGAGCGAACTTCATTTATTAGAGGTCTCTATGAGAGAACATCAAGATGAATTGATGAGAAAACAGGATGAGGAATGGAATGGGAATTTGGATCTTCAGAACGAAGTTGAAGTTTGTCAAGAGAAGATTTCTATATTGCTAGAGGAAAGGCTAAAATATACCAGTCAAAACAAGCGAGGAAGACGTTCAAATCTGCCGCTTCTCTTCCTAGTCGTCGCTCTGTTCAGTCGAGAGGAGGACGTGATAACTCTACATTTTGATGCCTTAAGGGCATCATTTTAGGGGTATTTTCGGCCCTAGAATAGTCAAAGTATGCCTTTTTCCTAGTTAAATTCAATGTTGTGACCTCTAAGGTCTCTGTGCAAATTCTATGGAAAACTGGGGAAGTTACATGGCTGAAATGCAGTTTTTGGAAAGCTGGTGTGAAGTCCAGTTGAGAGATGGGTGTTTTTGTGAAAAATTAAGAACATGAGGGCACCTCCTATCTACTAAACCCAGTTTGGCACCCCCCTGCTGTATTAGCATGCTGTCCTCTCCTTAGCAAACCCTAGGGCGCCTTTTAACCTATTCTTTTCCTTAGCAAACCCTAGCCGCCCCCAACTATTTAATCTCCACCCTCCACTCCTTCTAATCTCCACCACTCATTCGAGGGCACTCTTTCTGTAGCTTTTAAACCCTAGGGCGCCACCTAACTACTAATCCTCACCATTCAGCCCCTAACCACCAGATCTCAGCCCTCCATTCCATCTTCTATCTCAGTCATCCACTCTAGGGCACCCCCCACCTCTCTTAATCTCCACCTTTCAGCCCTAGGTGCCTCAATCTCCACCATCTATTTCTGGGTGCCCAAATCTCAGCCCTACATAATATTGGGCACCCTCCCCTTCTATTTTTAGCCTTAGGATCACCTCGAAACCATCCTAACCCTCCATTAGAAACCCTAGGGCACCCATATCTTTGCTAAAACCCAGTTGTCGCCCCATTTTTTCTCTCTAATCCTAATTGTATCATCCCTTCTCTATAAAAAGGACCCAAGAGCTTCTGAAAAAGGGTTGGATTCTGGCCCCATCCCATCCCACCTAAATCTTCTCACAAACCAAATGGAGCCTAAGAGAAATCATCCGTGCAATCCAAGTGAGACTTCCCCTCCTGACGTTCAAGTCTCTAATTTCTCTATGTTGATGAAGTTGACGCCTTCCACAGCGATGGCTGGTGGGTCAAAAGGATAACCCGTATAAAAGGTCCTCTGTACTACAGCTACTTCTCCAACACTATAGATGAGATTGCATACCCCTTTTCGTAGCTGAGGGTTCATCATCAGGAGTGGAAGAAGGGCAAATACGTACCTTACCGCCTAAAAAGGCATTAAGCTCTTTCTCCAACCTCTCTCTCTCTCTCTTACTCTACAACTTCTTCTTCTTTGCAGGTGTTCATATGGTTTGGTTGCGAAGTGGGTCTTGTTGATGATGATGATGTATTTGATTTTAAGGTCTTGTCATGGCATACTTCAGTAAATAGTAGAAAACTCAAAACTACAACATTTAGTTCCTGTTTGTTGTCCAATCAAATGCCATCTTTTTCTAGTTCACAATCTTAAGCATGATTTGTGGTCTTTGATGAAAATATCAATCGAGAAAAGTTAACTCCAAACCTGACCGGCCCACAGCTGTTGTGGGTGATGGATTGGTTGTTTTAATGACAGCTGTTGTGGGTGATGGGTTGGTTGTTTTAATGGAAACTACAGCTGTCACAGAGACTTTTGCTGCTATTAAATGATCCAATGGATGACAACGCCACCCTTTTGTTGTGCAAGATGTTAAGAAAGGGCATTTTAGGAATTTTCAATATATATATATATATATATATATTAATCATATGACATCACATGAATGAAATATGACAGGAAAATTAACAATAAGGGAGGTTTTCAACATTGTCAAAAAATTTAAGAGTACTTTAAGATTATGTAAATAGTAAGAATAGAATTAGTTTCTTAAATCATAGGGGTGTTTTAAGAAATTTTTCGAAAATTTAAATTGGATGAATGTGGCTTGCATTGCAAATATAGGGTGTAAAATCCAAGTATTTTAGAAATTTTCAAAATTTATATATATCATATGACATCACATGAATGGAATATGACGGAAAATTAACAATAAGGGATGTTTTCAATATTGTCAGAAAATTTAAGAGTACTTTAAGACTGTAAATAGTAAGAATAGAGTTAGTTTCTTAAACCATAGGGGTGTTTTAAGAAATTTTCCCAAAATTTAAATTGGATGAATGTGGCTTGCATTGCAAATATAGGGTGTAAAATCCTAGTCTAACTAAACAACCTATGGGTCCAAGTCATTAAATTTAAATAATTAAGATAAGAGTTTGTGGGATGTAGCACCCAAGAGCAACTAATCATGGGATTTATCCTGAAACATAGAGAATTACTAAAAAAATGATTATGATGGAAAGTCTATCAAGTTTTGGAGTAATAATTGGATTGGGTCATTCCCTTTGTCTCACATTGCAAACCCAGAGGACCATACCCAAGATCAGAGGGCAAGTGATTTCATAGACAAAGAAAATAACTGTTGGGCCAAAGAAAAAACTGGATAAATATGTACCAAATGACCTATGGAACAAAATTAAAGCCATTCTCATTTCTTTAGAAACAAATGGTGATGAGATGATATAGAGATAAGATCCAAAAGGCTGTTTCTCAATAAGATCTACCTACAAGATAGAATAAAGACTCAGGCTCTAATTTCCTATACCCAAAACTTTGGAAACTTTGAAGTCTCCCAAAAGTTAAATACTTCATGTAAAGAGCTATTAACGAGAGAGAACTCAAGGAGTGAAGACATAACTATGCATTGGGTGTCATAGTAAGAGATGGTATGCAGCTTGCAAAGCCCATATCACGACTATAAGCATTCAAAAAATAAATAATAAATAGGGAGGCCTTCGAACATAACTAATATTTTTTTGAAGGAAAGATCAGGAGCTTTTAGGCCGGTCAACTTGTACTATATACAATTACAGGCCTGCCCAATATGTTTGATTTGTATATGTTGATGAAAAGTATGTAAAGAGAGATTTGTATCCAAATAATGAATAATATAAAATTGCTAAAATAATTATTTATTAATATTATTGAGTTAATTGGTATTAGGGGAACATCGGTGTAGCCCAATTGGTTCCCTTAAATTACAATTTGACATTATACATCATCACCATAATTAAATAGAATTCGGATTAGCTGAATGCATTAATTGTTCAATAGGCTGTGGAACCAATGATGAGATTCCTCACCAGGAATAAATTTATGGGTCTCACCATAAAAGATGCGAGTTTCATATATTTAAATACCAGCATGAAACTTTATTATTAGTTCCACAGCCCACTGAACAAATAAAACGTTTAGCTAAACTTTGCTTAATTAAATATATTTCAATTGGGATCCAACAAATACATGCACATTATTATTATTATTATTATTATTATCATTATTATTATTATTTTATACTTAATTGGTGAATACAAGATGGACTAAATAACTTGAGCCAACCCAGGGGCCATGGCTCCATGCATAGCAGTAAAAGCTCATCTAATCTTTTACAAAGAGAGCAATTGAGATTTGAGAGAAGGGTGGTCTTCTAAATTGCCAATGAGAGATGAAATGGTTCATTATTGCATATCTGTTCTCTTCTGCTACCATGTTTTTTTGGTATCATACAATTTTCTTTCTTTTTCTATTTTTATTATCAGCTAATTTCTTTTATTTTTTAATTTTCTCTTTTATTTTTTGACTATCGCGCCCAAAGTTAAGCAATTAACAAACATAGGAAAATCTATGATGTCAGAAAGTGATATCAGAAGAGATTTGACTAGGGGTGCTCACGGTTTGGTTAACCGAACCATCGGGATTTTTATATTCATAACATATATTATAAATAAATATATAATATATTTATATATTATATATAGGTAATATGTGAGATATTATATATATATGTATGTATGTATATGTATATACATATATCGGCCGGTTCAATTAACCGCCGGCTTTTTTTTCTAGGTTAACTGAAAACAGAACCAATCCTTCAATTTTTTAGAAATACTAAACTGATCAATTTGTTTTACCGCATTTTCGTTTTGGTTTCTCAGTTTTTCGATTTTTTATGAGCACCCCCACATTTGACCAATCAAAACCTACCCATGAATTTGGATAAATATCACCGGATTGGTTATCATGTTTATGATACCAATTGGGGTAAATTACAAATCGGAAAGTAGTGATAAATAAGTATCATAAACTTTCAATTATAACACTTAAGTACTCTAAACTCTCAAAAATAGACACTTAGGTCCATCCACTAGTATTCCATCAGTTAAACATTATATAATGCCAAAATTATCCTTTCATCAATTAAACTTATACAATTTGATTAATACTGTATAAGTTATTAAATTTTGGCATTATATAACTGACAGAATACTAATAAATAGGTAATTATTAATCAATCCATATAAATTTAATTGATGAAAGGATAATTTTGATATTATAAACACCCCCTTACTATGGGGTCTGTGATAAAGACCCAAGACCCCTTATTATGCTCGTGAGATGAAAACCCCCTTCCATTAGCTTTCCGTTGCATCATAGGCATCACGCGCCCAAACCCCTGCAAGCAGTGGCGCCTGTATCACTGGTGGAACCAACCTGGGCGAAACTAGTTGGTAGGCAATCATCGGTGGCATCATGCACCCAAACCCCCTGCAAGCGGTGCCATCTGTGTCGCTGGTGGAATCGTTCTAGCCAAACCAATTGGTAGGCAGCCATCAGCAAAGGTAAAGAGGTGGATTGAGATGAAGCAGAGACGGTGCTGCTGCAACTTCCGACTAAAACCATTTTCATGCCCCTGTTGTATAACTGACCTGCAACTTCCTTCTTTGTCGATGGCAGTTTCATGCCCCTGCTGTATAACTAACCTTTGCCAATGGCAGGCAGTCATTGCAAAGGTAAAGAGGTGGATTGAGATGAAGCAGAGACGGTGCTGCTGCAACTTCCGGCTGAAACTAGTCATCGAAAACGGTAGCAAGCTTTTCCGAGAGAGGGGAAATTGGAAACAGTAGCAAGCTTTGTCGAGAGAGGGGAAATCAGAAAACGGTAGCCAATGGTTTCATTTCCAACCGGCGAACAGAGCAGCAAAAATTCCAAACGTCGCCTAAGAGATTCCAACTCTCGCGGGGAAACCCCGCAGGCACACGCCTTAACCACTTGGCCAAGCGCCAATCGATTTCCAAGCTAGTATCAATCCAACAAGACTGAAAAACAATACAAAAATAACCTGTTTCTGCCGGGCAGAGGATTCATCGAGTCAGAAAGCCGTAACTCAGTAACAAGCTTTCAAGAATTATTTTTCAACGTCCCCAATTTGTTTACCAATAAAAATTTCTTACAATTTATATGTTCAAGAAGCAAATACTATTTTTGTTCTAACGTTCGAACTAAATGAGAAAACCTCCGATTCGTTTTACACAAGTGTGCTCCCTCACTTGGAATGCTATCCCCATTCCCTCTCGCCCCTGTGATAATGTTCTTGTGCAGGTTAAGCTTTTTAAGAACTTGAAGTTGGACGATCTTCTGTGATATAGGCAGATATCTGTTGCTGCGCTATCAAGCATTGCAGTTTTTTATGATTGCGGCATCATCAGGCAACAGCTAGGGAGACGAGATTGAAAATAAAGAAGAGAAGAAAGGGAAGATGAGAAATGGGTTTCCTCTGTCCTTTTATTTCTGGAACAGTTGGGAGAGAAAAAGAATGAGAGAGTACTGCGAGAGAGGGAAAAAGAATAAAAGAAAGGAAAAACAATAGGTTAAATAGATTTTAAGAGAAAAATGACAAAAAAAATGAAAATAGAAAAAATTTAGTGAAATACTTTAATAATTTAATGCATTTCATCATCTAACTTAACGGTAAAAGGGTCTTTGTCTCATAATCATAATATAAGGGGTCTTTATCGCAAAACAAAGTATAAGGTGTCTTTGTCACATACCCATACTAGGAGAGGTCTTTGTAATTTACGTAATGTATTTTCCTAAAGTTTTCTTATTCCACTTTTTCTGCTTTGCACACCGAAAGTCCAAGATCAAGCGAGCGCCACGGCGCTTGATCTGCCTCACAACTCCTATTTCAACGTAATTTTCGCTATCGAGTCACGCGGAACGGAAATGGTGACCGGTGAGATGAGTGACCGAGGGAGATCGGATTGGATGCCAGCTGGAGCTGGCCCAGCTCCATGTTGAGTTTACGCGCGCGTTCATTCCAATTTCCAAGATTCAAGTTTCGGTGGGTTTCACACTTTCTTCACAACTCACAAAAGAAAGAATTAAGCGGGCCCCGCCAAACCCCTTCAAATGTGGAGATGGTAACTCGTAACGCAAGTGGCTAATAACAATTATAAGATGTTTGGCATCGATGCCGATTAATCAAAAATCACACAAACAGTATTCGAAAATCTGAATTCGAATTCGAGATTCGTTATAATCAAATTAAATTCGGATATTCAAATTAAATATTCGGTTAAATTTAGATATATATTGATTCGATCCGATAAATATTTAATCGTATATATAATTATTAAAAAAAGAAAAAAAAAGAAAAAACAAGAAAATGAGAAATGAGTTCGAATACTCATTTCAGTCTTTTGAGTTCGAAGTTCGAACCTTACGTCCTTACCTCTCTCTCTCTCTTTCTCTCAAGTTTCAACTTTCAAAACCCTAAAACCCTAATCCTTCATCACTTCCTTCATCATCAATGGACGCCGCCCAAGCAACCACCATCAGTCCATCACCAATCACCGCCCCTCATTGTCCAAGCAACCACCAGCCCTTCATCGAACACTATCGTCACGTATCTAGTCATCTTTCCTCTTACTTCTATCTCCCTTCTCTCAGAGTCTCAATGAGATAGTGATCCGCCACCCAAGCAACCACCATCACCAATGACAACATCAGTGATAGCGGTCGAATAGCTCAAGCTCAAAGCGTTGTCTCCTTCGCCACTCCTCAAGCTCAAGCAACCCTCAACCATCTAGCATCACCGGCCTTGTGTTGCAACCCACGACTGCCGCTGGGAACCCATCGCATTCGCACAGCTGGGAACAAACGCCTGTTGCCATCAATCCCCTGCATCTTTTCTCAAGGTAATTAGATTTAAATAGATTGGTTTATTGATTTATTTATGAGCTAGATTTTTCAGTTCATTTTCGTATGCTAAATTTTTAATGAAATAGAATAGATTACAAATTTCTAATAGTGATTTAGATGATTTATTGGTTTTTTGGTTTCTGGTTATGAGCTAGATTTTTCAAATTTTCCCCTTTTTTGCAATCAATACCAATTTTTTAGCCAATCAATCAAATTTGAATTGAATTGAATATTGGATTTAATAATCAAAATCAAATTTGAATTGATAGATTTGATATCCGTCGGATATCGAATTGAATTCGAATATCAGTATTTCTAATTGGTTTCAAATTTGAATGTAGTCTGATTTGATTCGAATTCGATCCGTTTACAAATCTAATTACACCCATACAATGCCAGAGCCATATCAGCAATAGGTATATGTTTGGCATCAATGTTGCAGATGCAACACTACTGGTGTGTGGGTTGGAAGCACCGTTTTTTGAGAAAATAGTGTCTTTTTTTTTTGTTTGGAATCGTTGCTGCTAGATAGGATATTTTCTAGAGCAATAGTAACTTTTTCTATTTGGTACCAATGCTCCAAGAAATGTTTTCAGCACTGGTACTCATTATACAGTGCCACATCATTGCCACCTCACATCCCTGTTGGCAACAACGAGCTGCAGCTCTAGGAAACGCCAGATTTGGCGTTGCTCCAAGCCATGCCTTCCCGATTTCTAAGGCGTGGCTTGGAGCAACGACAATGATGCCAAACAGACACTAGAGCAACCAACGCTGAAATTTTTGTTTGGTTAAGCTAATTTTGGTGATTTTGGAAAATGAACTAAATTTGATTCTTGAAATTGGCCCTTTGGTGATTCCTTAATTTTCAGCTTATTCTGGGTGATGTTTGATATTGACGATGATTTCTCTTTGATGATTATCAAGAAATTGGCCTCATGCCAACCTCACAGCGCATTGGAGTCATGCATTGAGAACACCTCCCGTACGTGATGTTATCATTCATGGGAAGATGTTCCCAACGTCTACAATGCACTAAGGGGATGGTGTGAGGTGCACTCTAGAGGAGCAGATCTGAACTGGTTTTTGAAACCGATTATTCTTCCTTCAAAAATAGCGTTACATCGGCGACACATTTGAAATCCGGTTTTTAGATAATGCCTAATGTTTGGTTATGCGTTTTTTTTTTTCAAAAAACATTTTCTCATACCATTGAAAATCAGGAAGGGTGTGGTCCGAGGAAAACACCCTTTTAATGTTTTCTCATTTTTTTCAACTGTTACTAGCAATGATAGGATGATATTAGCATTGAAATACACAAGAGCAAGGCCTGATTGAACAGTCTTTACAGCCTTACATTGAGAATATCTCCGTAATTATATGCTTTATTTCATTTCGTGGAGAGATTTTTAATACAAGGTTCAAAGAGGCTGTTGGAACGGTGTCAGCACCGGCTTGCAACACCTATGTGACAACAACAATGGTGAATCCGGATTTCTTGCACTTGTTTGGTGTGTGTCGTGGTGCATTCCCAATAAGATTGTAACACGTCAAGTTTCAACTAAACTGATGGTTTATGCAGGAAATCCGAATGCAGGATTTCCGACCTCAAACTGATTGAACAGTCTTTAAACTGATTGAACAGTCTTTAAACGATCTTATTAGGAGTGCACCACGGCACACACCAAACGAATGCAGGAAATCCGACCTCAACAATGGTATTAAATAAAAAACATTTTTTGAGAAAACCACATGCCAATGCAGAACCGTTTCCTCAAAAAATACTCATCAGGCAACGGCATTGGTTCCAAACACTGCCAAAATTCACCGTTTTTTTTTTTTTCGAAAAAAACCGATTTCAAAAATCATAGATTGCTGCAAAATAGGTAAAGAAGAAACGGCGTCATCACAATTATGATCATTGGTTCTGATGACACGTGGCAATAGATTGTTGCAAAATAGGTAAAGAAGAAACGACTTCATCACAAGCGTCATAAACGGTTTTATCACGCGTGGCAATTTATTGACATTTTACTGATTATAACCAAACACTCGATCCCAATGAGAGACACGTAGTATTACCAATTTACATCTCAGGTGTTTATTGGACGTGGACGGGAGGGAGGATGGGAGGAGACCTCTATGGTTCTACCGAGTACCGACTACCACTTTACCACCCCGAAGGCCTGAAGCCTGAAGGAATGAAACTGAACGTAAAACGCATATGTCTGAAGAAGTACGATGATGGTGGTCTCCTGTCTGACCGACATTGGGATTGGGGACATGGCTTCTGGCCTTCTGCTGGTCGCTTCCCGGATGTGAAGTCACCATTGACATTAGTCCCACGGTCCCACCTATTACTTCCTCGGTTCCTCCAGTTTATTGCTTAGTGTTTACACTTACAGCCTCAGACGACGATGATCCCACGTTCAGATTCAAAGCTCTCTTCCCCTGATTCGCCCACCCAGTTCCAAAATACATTATCACGTTCATTAATGAATTCAATCTCCTACACAGGACAACCAGAAAAGCTAAAATACATGGACGAGGTTGAACCAGAGCAGGATCCATTTAACTATGAACTTTCTAGCTAGCGTGGTTAGTTGAGTTTCAGTCAACTGCTCTTTCTTTTTCTTTTCTTTTTTACTAACGACAGCTTTGCGTTAATGGAAGCTCGCAATGCCTGCAAGGCTGCAACCCATCATAACGCGTAAACGCGTGATGTGCGCCGAAAATGGGTTCTTCCTAGTTCCTTGCTCTTGATTTCTTTTTATTTTTTTAATCATTAAAAAGTTGTTTCATTTATTTTAATTATATACTCAGAACTCTCAGATAAAGCCTGAGAACCCATGCATGTTGCTCATTTTCAGGCTTCTTCCCTCTCTTCTTCTCTATTTAAGCAAACCCATTGCTTTACTCTTCTGTACGCTAAGCTGTGATTCTGTGAACAGAGCAGAGTCCTATCTCCTCTGTTCCTCCCCTGCCCATCGAACGACACTTCTCAAGTCCCACTTCAGGTAACAGACATATATTTCTATCTATCTTTCTGTCTTTCTGTTAATTAACTCTGAGACTCTGACTTGTAAAATCTCTCTAGTGTTTGATTCGCCCAGACTTCTGTACCTAGTGCTTACTGAGTAATTTTTGAAATGCCTGACGATAAATGCCTCATTTCTATACCCAATTCTTTGATTGTAATAATATTGATGCAGGTCCTTTTAACAAGGGTATATAGCTTCTTTTCTTCATCCTTTACCATCATTTGTATGTACTGGGCTTTTTCTAATTCTAGTTTTGGTCTTTTCGGCAAATTTCTCTGTGGCTGTACGAGTTCTTTCTTTTAATCCTTGAAGCCACATTTCCTCTTTTTATGTATTTTTCTTCAATTTAATCTATTAGGCTTAGAAGTTAGAGCGAATCTAGTATTTGCTTAATCTTGTTTGGACCCTTTCTTTTGCAGTAATTGAAGGCCGATCGAGAAGCTTTTTTTCGCTGATAAAATGAGAGTAGCAATGTTGCTGCGTCTGATCTTAGGAGTTTTGGCATGTTTGAGTGTCTCTCTGGTGAATGCAGAGGACCCGTACAAATATTATACGTGGACTGTAACCTATGGGACGATTGCTCCTCTGGGCGTCCCTCAACAGGTTAGTTTTCCAGCCTCTGAGATAAACATTTTATTATTAGCTCAGTTATATGATTGAATTAGTTTTACTGGACAACTACCGTATACGATTTTGTATCTCAGCTCATAATCAATTTTTCTGTGTTTTCTCGGTTTTGAAGGCTATTCTTATTAATGGCCAATTTCCTGGTCCTATACTTGATGTTGTAACCAACGACAACATTATCTTGAACCTCATTAACAAGCTAGACCAGCCTTTTCTATTGACATGGTGAGTCTTTTCTTTGATCCATCTCTTCCTGTCTATTAATTTCTTCAGTTGTAAGTAGCTTAAGGATGTTCATTGTCTTCTGTTAGTCCATACTTTTCCTACTGTGGTTTTCAGCTGTGATTGATACTGGAGAGCCTATCCAAATACTCTGCAACAAAGATATTTGCTTCATTCTTTCTTGTTTTTTTTTCCCTCTTTTTCTGAATATTTTTAAGTTGTTAAATGTCTCTCTTTTCATTACATGTTTCTGTAACTTGGAAACTGGATGCCCTGTCAATTCTCACAGTTTTCCCCCAATGTTATAGGCCTTTGATATCCCTTTTTCTTTAATAAATGGCTTAAGCTCGTCCTTTTGAAATGCTTATGTACATTATTTTTACTAGGAATGGCATTAAACAAAGGAAGAACTCTTGGCAAGATGGAGTACTGGGAACCAATTGCCCAATCCCACCAAACTCAAACTACACATACAAGTTCCAGGCAAAAGATCAGATTGGAACCTACACTTATTTCCCATCCACTCAGCTGCACAAAGCTGCTGGTGGGTATGGAGGTCTGAATGTCTATGAGAGGCCCCAGATACCAATCCCATTTCCTAACCCTGCTGGTGATTTCACATTACTTGTTGGTGATTGGTACAAGACCAACCATAAGGTAAGGTATATATATTTTTTCCTTTCTTTTCTTTCTCCCTTAACTTCTAAAGTTGGTTGATATCTCTAGAGTATCCAACCGATGATTTCTGGAAAAATTGTTTCTGCAGTTATATATGCATACAAATTTGCTGTTTTTCATCTTCATGCCTAAAATTGTAGTCTAGATTTATGTGTAAGATGGCAACTGTTTTCAGCAACTTTTTTTTTTCATATATTAAGGAGACATTGTTTTTAGAAAGTCTGGGATTGTCCAATTGAGTAGGTCCAGGCAACTTGTCCAAGGACCAGTCCAGAGTCCAGACAACCCTTTGAAATTTCAGTATTGGTTAGTGAACTTCTTTTCCATCAGTCAACCGGATATGATTTTGTTTTGTTGAGCCAGCATTTATGAATCCTTATATCTTTACTAGTAATTGGATCCAGATTTAAAAATAAAGGGGCATTTCGTGCTTGAAAAATAGGTTTTCATAATATATACAATGATTGCAAAGTTTCTTTCAATATTTGACTTCTTTCATCTTTCTGGTTGTTTTAGACTTTACAGCACTATTTGGACTTAGGGAGACCTCTTCCTTTCCCTGATGGCCTTCTAATAAATGGCCAAGCTCATGCTTCTTTTAGTGGTGATCAAGGTAAGCTTCATCTCTGAAAACATTTATGTAATTCTTTTAAGTTCTTAAGGCTGTGTTTGATTGACATAAAATAAGAGAGGAACAGAAAGTTCAACTTTTCCTTCAACTTCCTGTTTCTGTCAAACCAAACATAGCCTAAAGATGTATTTGATCTTTAGATGTTTTCATCATATTTTTAGATCAAATTCATTTATGGTTTTCTATTTTCAGGTAAAACCTACATGTTCAGGATCTCCAATATGGGCTTGTCAACCTCAATCAACTTCAGGATTCAGGGTCATACAATTATGCTAGTTGAAGTCGAAGGGTCTCACACCATTCAGAACATCTATGATTCTCTTGATGTACATGTGGGCCAATCTGTGGCTGTCCTAGTCACACTAAATCAGGCTCCAAAAGACTATTATATTGTTGCCTCCACACGATTTACGAGAACTGTTCTCACAGCAACTGCAGTGTTACATTATACTAATTCTCAAACCCCAGTTTCTGGTCCAGTGCCTCCTGGTCCTACTTACCAAATTCACTGGTCAATGCAGCAGGCCAGAACTTTCAGGTATTTCACACTGAGTTGTTGAGGTAGATCCCGAAAAGGGAGCATGAGTGCTATTATATGCTGAAATTTCATTACTCAAAACAATATAGAATTAATGCTTGAAGCCTTTCAAATTCTACAGCTGTTGCATTTTAGATGTTCTCTTACCATTTGAAACAATATGCTAGGTGTATCACTTCTCTAATAGAATTCTAATGTGACATCAAATATCAAAATCTAGTTAATAGTAAATAGTGGCTCCATTCTGACCTATTTCTTTGCTTTTGTTTCAAAGGTGGAACCTGACGGCAAGTGCAGCCAGACCAAACCCTCAAGGCTCATATCATTATGGGAAGATAACAACATCAAGGACAATTTTCTTGGCTAACTCAGCTCCTCTGGTAAATGGCAAGCAACGCTATGCTATTAATAGGGTCTCCTACATTAACTCAGATACCCCACTCAAGCTTGCTGACTATTTCAATATCCCTGGAGTCTTCAGTCTGAACTCCATCCAAACAGCACCTGGTGGAGGTCCTGCATACCTTGCTACCGCTGTGATGCCAGCTTTTCTCCATGAATTTATTGAAGTTGTCTTCCAAAACAATGAAAATACCATCCAATCTTGGCATCTTGATGGTTATGATTTCTGGGTTGTTGGGTAAGGCTTTAAGTTTATTTATTTGCAGGTGGTATTCAGTATGGTGTTAGTTTCTAACCAACCCAATTGGGATAAATGCAGCTATGGTCGTGGGCAGTGGACACCAGCCAGCAGAAAACACTACAATCTAGTTGATGCGCTTACTAGACACACTGCTCAGGTAACTAAAACCAGAACAAACTGAGGGTCTATGTGGTTGTTTTGCAATTTCAAGGGCTGATTCTTTTTTCTTTAACAGGCAATAATAATAATTTAGTAGGTGGTTGTGATTTTCATTGGAAAGGTCTTGGGTATCATTTCTACTTTCCTAATGCAAATTACATTGTCATGCAGGTGTATCCATATTCATGGACCACCATATTGATCTCCTTGGATAACCAAGGTATGTGGAACTTGCGGTCTGCAATATGGGCAAGGCAGTATTTGGGGCAGGAATTCTATCTAAGGGTCTGGAGCCCAGACAAAACCCCGGCCAATGAATATGACATTCCACCAAATGCCCTCCTTTGTGGCAGAGCTAGGGGATTGCATGCTTAAGATAATTGACAATTTACCCAATTGCCTATTTATGTAACCTTTTCATTTTCAGTCACAAGGGTATGACTGCCAGAAAAAAAAAATGCAGAGAAGAAAGGAAAGCATCCAGAATGTAACCCCATCTCCTAATGTCTTATAGCAAAAGCAGTAATAATAATTTGTTTATTTTTATCTTTTTTGTTCATTTGCATGTCTCTTGGATTATGAATGCATGCATTGATAGGAATTATATTTCTATTTGATGCCATTTGTATTTTGAATCCACTAGTAACAAGTCAGTAGTTCCGGTCCATTACCCTACTGCATCATTTGTATTTCACCTTGTTCATTATGGAGATGTGCACTTCATGATCTTTTCTTGAGAACAGTTCACTCTCGTGCAATCTGTGGCCCATTCTCTTTGGGTTCTGGTGTAATCTTTTGAATCTTATGGTTGTTTCTGTGCTGTATTGTTCTAATATAGTGATCCTGTACTGTCTAATACAGTGATTGACTAACTAGCCAAAGCCCAAGGGTGCTTCTTGTCTTTATTCTCTTTTGATCTTAAGTCTTAATCATCTATGCTGCCATCCTAGTTTCCTTGGTTCTTGATGGTGCGCGATCTGGAAGCTCCAAGCTGTAAGATTATTTGGATGCTGGTCACTTCGCGAGGTGGGTTAAAGTACAAGAAGACGAATCAGAGAACCTGGGGTGGCTAACCCGGCGAGGTCGCTCCAATGCTTAAGTTAGTATTGTACTTTGGTAGCGAGTTGAAAGCTTGAACGCAAATAGCTAGTGAGCAAGTAATCGCGCATACCTTGTGCTATGGGGGTTAACACCCTTATATAGCTGAGTTGTCGTGAGCCCCAAGGAGCCTCTCCGGGATCTTCTGACCAGGTGGTAGGAGTCTGTTCCATTTCAGAAGGTGGCCAATGTGCTAGTTGATAAGGCTTATTGTGTCCATCCGATTCGGGCGGAACGAGGATAAGGCCTACGGTTATGCTGTATGATCCCGAAAGGCTCGGGGATAGCTGGCGATCTTCTAGAATCCGTTACATGTCACTTTGGCGCATGTGGTCACCAAGGTCCCCTGGCTTCGGTACTATCCGAAGCGACTGAAGTACCCAAGGTGTCCTGGTTTGCCGAGGTAGCGAGAAGTGCTAAGTCATTGTCTGGCTGGCAGGTCGCGTCCACATGTCCTCTGTTTATTAGGTCGGGCCAAATCACCCCTCATCAATTGCCCCCCACTCCCCGTGCCAGGGGTCCCAACCCAGTGTGGGGAGTTCATGACAAGCCTAGAAGGATTTGGCCCGAGTTCTCTTGGTTGGGAGGGAAATCCTTCGGTCGGACCACATTAACTCGATTGGCTCAATCAGGATAACCCAAATCGTGTACCGGGGACGTACAGACGTCACGTAGTTTATAGGTTCCACAAATGCCAAAGCGCGTGCTCAACCGGTTTCCATGAGAGCCATCGATTGTACAGATCTCGACCATCTAACCTTGGGCATGGTGGTTATAAATAGGGGCCTAGGGGGCCCATTTTTCTCGCCACATATCGCGTATTCAAGTCCTTGAGGTCGCGCATCTATCTCTAGGTCGGTGCCAATTAACCTTGTGTCCGAGGTCATCCATTCTCTTTGGCTTTTTGGTGAGTTTGTCTTGTCTTTGTTTTCGTTCCCTGCTTGTCTTTTTCCAATTAGTTCGATATGTCTAGTGTTAGCACGGGTAGCCTTTATGACTTGAGTGAGGAGTCCGCTGAAGTCGAGGTGGGGACCTCGACACAGGCTAAAGAGTCGAACCCTGCCAAGGCGAGCGCTTCGGTATGTGGTTCGGACTCCAACCCGTCCAAGGCGGACGCACATCGGCAAGAATGCGAGGCTTCTAGGAAGGGAGCCTCCACCTCGCGCTGCACTCGGGGCCCAGATAGCTTCAGTCCTTCGACAATGATGGCTGATAGGCACCTAGCCTTGATTGCTCGCTACAAGCTCCCTGACGACCTAGTGTATAGCATTCCCCTAGGAAGGTATCCTTGGGACCATGATCACAACAAGATTGTGGTATTTGAGGAGTAGCTCGCGGCCGGCCTACGTTTCCCACTTCACCCCTTTATCATTGAGGTCGTCAAGTTTTTTGACATTACCATAGATTAGCTCCACCCCAACTCGATCCGCAACATTGTAAGTACCATCTCCCTCTTCCATGACTATAATATGCCTTTGACCCTCGACATCTTTAGTTCGATTTGCTCCATCAAAAAGAATTTTGCCTGTGTCCTCCCAGAGCACAGGCGTAGCTACTACATCTCTCCCCGACCTGGTTACAAGATCTTGAACGACTTCCCCAATAAAGTCCTGGCCTGGAAGAAGCGCTACTTCGTGGTTCGTAATACCATGGGGTGGCCATTTTCAACTCACTGGAGGCCTGCCATTCAGGACCCCGACATCAAGTTAGACAAGGAGACAAGGGCGGAAGTCCGCTCTTGGGCGAAGATTGGAATGAAGCTAGAAGACTTCTTGTCCAAAGAAAATCTCATAAAATCCGGGCTGAGTCCTCCTGGTAGATCACCACCTCGGTGCACACACTTATCTTTTGTTTTGAATTCACCCTTAACTGCCTTGGCTAATTTCACTATTACTTTCTACAGGAGCTATGGAGGATATCCCCACAGGTGAACTCTTCAGGAGCATGAAGAAAGGGAAGAAGAGGAGGGCATCCAAGAAGGCCAGCTCTCAAGAGACCGCCACCCCGCCTGCCGCTGATGCTGTTGTCACCGAGGACCCTCTGGTGATCGACTTGGTCGAGGAAGATCGCAGTAAGAATTCCCCGCCTTGCCTGCCTGAGGAGATCCCAACGTCTGAGCTCCAAGCTGCCCACGAAGCCAGCTCATCAGGAGAAAGCTTCGAAGTGCTTCCAAGCATCATGGACCCGAAATGTAGCCTCTTCAAGAGCAAGGAAGCAATCTACTCGGCAGAGGTCGCTCAGATTTCTGAGCTCTCGATCGGTGAACTCGGGCATAAGGTCGTAGCCATTGCATGGTGGTACGTATCTAAACCTTGAATAGCGCTTTTCCTCATTCTTTTTAATACTTAAGATTTATTCTCTTTTTTAGTAGGTGAACTCCATGATTCACGCTTTAGTTTGGAAATCCGATGTACATCTGAAGAGAGCCCTATAAGCCGAAGACTCCTCTATGAGCACTCAACACGAACTGAACAAGGCCCTTGGTCAAATCCATAAGCTGGAGAAAGACATGCGGGCTCAGAAGGAACTGATGAAGCAGCTGATGGGGGAAAAGAAGGATTTGGAAAAAGAGAAGGAGGATCTTCAAGCTCTTCTACAGGAGCGCGAAGCTATCTTCAGTGATGCGATCAAGGAGGCCGTCAATAAAGCCGTTGAGGCCTACAAGAGTTCACAAGAATTACGTGAGCTAACGATAAAGACCGGCACGACTGCTTACCGGAAGGGATTCAAACTTAGCAAGTGGCTGATGTGGCGTGAGTTTCCCGAGCTCGACCTCAAGGCTATTACCACGATCGAGGTCACTAAGGAAATGGCTGACAAGGCGGCAAAGGACCCTGACTCCAAAGAGGGGAGTGACAACGACGACTTCGGTGAAGAGACAACGGAAGAGATAGCTAGAGATACCGCTGTTGGGGATGCTATGGAGATCGATCTGCCCAGGGATGTTGCTGGTGGGGGCGAGGAGCCCCAGAAGGACTGACTTTACTTGCCTCTTCTCTTGGACCTCCCATAAATACTTGATGTCCCAAGCCTCCAAGGTCGATTAACTAGCTGTAACTTCCCTTTCTTTTTTGAATGTACTGAAACTACACCTTGAATGAATCAAATCTTTTTGTTTTCCTCCCTGTGTAAAATTCTTGATGTTACAAAATTTTTTTCTAAGTGTAGATTATTCCAAAGTGCCGAGCTGGTGAGCTCGGCGTAAGTAAGAATAATCCGATATCAATGTACGCCAAAGTGAGCAGACAAGGTAGGGTATATGCCCGACCTACCTCCACACGAACTACTTCTCGCTTGCACATGCCAAAGAGGCGACTGGGTCTTATTTTGCCCATGCCGAAGCGACTAGGTCTTAGGTTGCCCATGTTGAAGCGACTAGGTCTTAGGTTGCCCATGCCGAAGCAACTAGGTCTTGGGTTACGCCGAGGTCATTAGCTCGGCCATCGTGGCCCTTAGGCTGTGGGAGTGACTCATAGTTCACTCCTTGATTTGTAATTTGGCTAGCTCGGTGATCTTTTAAACTTAGTTAACTTTTGGCGGATATCTAACTTTCGAGCTCATAGGTAGTACTTCTTAAAGTTGCCAACATTCCATGCTCGGGGTACCAACCTCTCTTCCATCGTCTCTAGCTCATACATGCCTTCTTTGAACACTCGTCTCACCTTGTATGGACCCTCCCAGTTCAGACCTAGCTTACCTACGCTGAGCATAGGTACCATCACCTTACGGAGCACCAGGTCGCCAACTCGAAACTGCCATTTCTTGACATGGGCATTATATTACCGAGTTACTCACTGCTGGTAGGCCACAGTCCAAATATAGGCCAGGTCGCGTACTTCTTCAATCAGGTCCATGTTAGTTTGGAGCTCATCGTCATTAGCACCCTCATCGTATGCTTCAAGCCTCAGAGTCGATACTTCAATCTCGGCAGGGATCACAACCTCCGTTCCGTATGTCAATTTGAAAGGCGTTTCCCTGGTTGTAGTCTTGATGGTAGTTTGGTAGGCACAGAGGACATTGGCTAGCTCGTCCACCCACAGCCCCTTAGCTTGCGCCAAGCAAGCTTTTAGTCTGCGGATGATTGCCCTATTCATCACCTTGGCCTGTCCGTTTTCGCTTGAGGGTGTGCAACCGAAGTGAAATTCTATTGGATCCCCATTTTGGCGCACCAGTTTTGGAACTTGATGTCTTCGAACTGCTTCCTGTTGTCCGAAATCAACACCTTGGGTAGTCCGAAGCAGCACACTATGTATTTCTAAAAGAAATTCTGCACGTTTCGGGTTGTAATTGTTACTAGTGGCTCAGCCTCCACCCATTTTGTAAAGTAGTCAACCGCCACGACCAAGAATCTTCTCTGCCCGGTTGCTGGCGGGAATGGTCCGAGGATATCTATCCATCATTGCGCAAATGGATATGAGCTGGTCAGGTACTTCAGATCAGTAGCGGGTTGAAGAAGGATGTTGGCGTGCCTTTGATAGTTATCGCATTTCTTGATGAGCTCGAGTGCGTCTGCCTTCATGGTGGGCCGGTAGTACCCTTGTCTTAGAGCCTTTTGGGCTTGCGCTCTGCCCCCCAAGTGTCCTCTGCAAAGTTCTTCGTGGATGTCATGGAGCACCCGATCTGCTTCTGAAGGTCGCAAGCAACGTTGGTAGGGGAGCAAGAAGGACCTCCTAATTAGCCGCCCGTCGATAATAACGTACCAAGCTGACTGATGCTCTGCCCTCTGAGCTGCATTATGATCTGTTAGTAGGGTCCCGTGGAGCAAATAATCGACGAGCTAATTGATCCAGCTCGGCTCCGCTTGCAATACGGGAGCGACCTCTTCTGCCCCCTCCCCCCGAGAATACTGGGCCGAGGCAGGTCTTCTATGTATATCGTTCGCATTGTATTGTCACTAGTGCTTGCTACTCGTGATATGGAATTAGCCTCAACGTTTTCAGACCTCGGTATTTGCTGAACAAACCAGGAGAGTAAGTATGGCAAGAGTTCTCTTACTTTAGCTAGGTAAGCTGCCATGGTTGGGTCTAAGGCCTCGTAGTCACCATTTATCAGGTTCACAACCAATTGGGAGTCGCTGCACATTACGAGGTGCTTTACTCGATTTCCTTCGCCAGGCTTAGCCCGACAATCAATGCCTCATACTCTGCTTCGTTGTTCAATGCCTCGAATCCGAACCAAAGAGCATACTCCAGCTTCACCTCGCTCGGCCCATACAGTATCAATCCAGCACCGCTTCATCACTTTTTAGATGAGCTGTCTACTACATGTAGGATCCAGGGCTCCTCGTCCCAGGTCGGACTTCCTTTGACCGGGATCAATGCCATGCTGGTCAAGACCTCCGATGTGCCAACCAACTCAGTCACTTCAGGGGCCGGCGTGCTAAATGTACATTCTGCTACGAAGTCCGCCAAGACTTGAGCTTTAATCGTTGGACGTGGCTTAAACCGGATGTCGTACTCACTCAACTCAATAGCCCACTTCGTCAATCTCCCTGACACCTCTGGCTTTAGTAGAACGTGCCTCAGTGGTTTGTCGGTGAGGACGACGATCGTGTGGGCTTGGAAGTACAGGCACAATTTTTGAGCTGCAATTACCAACACGTATGCTAGCTTTTTGATATCGGGATATCTGGTTTTTGTAGTCTGCAAGACCTTACTCACATAGTAGATGGGCCGTTGGACTCAGTCTACCTCTCTGATCAGTACAGAGGTGACCACCTCATCACTAGCGGAGAGGTACAATTTCAGTTTGTCACCTTCCTCAGGTCGGGTCAAAATTGGGTCTTCACGACCATTTCATCAACATAACACTCTACTTTATTTCCAATAAGGGGTTCAAAAACTTTATTTACAGGGCGCTAGAAGGTCACTCCAATGTTTTTTTAATCCGAAGGGCATGACTTTATAATAGTATAGCCCTAGCTCGGTTACAAATGCGGTCTTGTCCCAGTCGGCTACATCCATCCTAATCTAGTTGTAGCTGGAGTAGGCATCCATGAAGCTCAGCAACTCATGCCCCAAGGTCGCGTCTACCAGGCGGTTTATTCTAGGAAAGGGGAAGCAGTCCTTTGGGCAAGCTTTGTTGAGGTTGGTGTAGTTGATGCACATGCGCCACTTTCCATTGGCCTTCTTCACTAGCATGGGATTGGCCACCTAGCTCAAGTAATGGACCTTCCAAACGAAGTCTGTTGTGAGGAGCTTCCCGACCCCCTCGTCAATTACCCTCCACCACTCTGGGGCGAGCTTTGGTTTTCTTTGTCTAACTGGCCTGATTAAAGGGTCCACATTAAGTTTGTGAGTAATTATGCTAGGGTCAATGTCGGGCATTTCTGGTGCGAACCAAGCAAAAAATCTAAGTTATTGAGTAAGAAACTTAATAGTTGCAACCGAAGTGCTTCGCTTAGCAGAGTGCCGATCTAGAGGGTCTTTGTCGGCTCGGCTTCAGAAACTGGTACATGGACTGTCTCCTCCATCAGGGAAGCTCGCTCCTCTATGTACTCTGATGGTAGCTCTAGTTCGACACCGTCTGCCAACTTTGCCTTACCCCTTAGCGCGGCCATGTAGCACTTATGAGATTCAAGTTGATCACCTCGTACTATCCCTACTCCGCAAATCATTTGAAACTTCATGGCCATATAGTAGGTCGACACTACTGCACGTAAGGCATGCAAGATGGGCCTACCTAAGATCGCGTTGTAGGGGGACGGAGCCGCGACCACCAAGAACGTCTGCTCGAAGTGCACTAGATTGGGCCACGTCCCTGCTGCAACTGGTACTGTGACTTGGTCGAGAAGTCTAATCACTTCACCATTGAACCCCACCAGGGGGTGAATCTGTTGACTTCATGTCACTCTGCTCCAACTGCAACTTGTCAAAAGCTTCCTTGAACAGGATGTCAGCCGAACTCCCTGAATCCACCAGTATCCACTTTACCTCGAAGTTGTTAATTACAAGCTTGACGACGAGGGTGTCATCATTCAAATATTCGACCCCATGTGCATCATCCTCGATGAAGTAGATTGGCTCTTCCACCCGAGGTTACTTCGGTGGGTTCTCTGCTTCTTGCTCTAACTCTCAGACCGAGGTCTTCCCTACTGCTATGGTACACCCCACCACAATGGACCCACCGGTGATCATGTTGATCACCCTGCGGATCGATCTGTCTTCAGGTGGCTGCTGCTACCGGGGTGGCTGATCATTTCGCCTGCTCGACTCCGGAGCTTCTCTTCTTTGGTCGGTTTGACGGTCTGTTGATTCCCTACCCTCGTGCAAAATGTACTTCCTCAGATACCCACAGCGGATGAGCTCATCGATCTCATCGCGGAGGTTTCGACAGTTCTCAGTGTTGTGCCTGGTGTCACAATGAAAGTGACAATAGACATTCGGGTTCCTAGTCGTCGGATCTCCCCGCAGCCTGGGTGGCCACTTGAGAAAAGAAGAATCCTTGATCGCCATCAAAATCTCACCTCGCTTCGCATTGAGTGGGGGTGTAAGATGTTCTTTCAACAAGAGGGGTCCTGGATCGCCGACCTAACCTAGAACCCCGAAACGGTGACTTACTTCTCTAACAGGGAGACTTGCTTCTCCGTGGTGACTTATTGTTCTTTCGCCGACATTTTCTGCTACTTGCTCCTTCATCTTCTCTCTTCCTTTTCTCGCCTTGTTGGACTTCTGCCTTTGATCCAAGAGCTTCTTCTGTGCTCATGAAGCTCTCGGCATAGTTAAGAAACTCCATGATCGTCCTTGGGCGATGTACTCCAAGGTACCATGCAAACTCCTTGTGCTTAACTCCCTTTCGTGCCGTAGTGAGGTGCACAGCCGGATCGAGGTCTAGTTTCTGCAAACACTCCTCATTGAAGCTCTTGATGTAATTTCAAATTGACTCGTTCTCCCTCTGGACCACGTTCAAAAGGCTCTCTTGTGATTTTGGGCACTTCTTACTAGTGACGAAGTGGGCAGTGAACATGTCGGCGAACTGAGCCCAACTTTTGATCAAACCTAGTGCGATGTTCATGTACCACTACCTGGCTAATCCTCTGAAAGTGGTGGGAAAGGCCACACACATGCATACCTCGTCTGCTCCAGGAAGGTGCATCTGAGACTGAAATGCATCAACGTGGT